AACTGAAACCTGCTGCTGTGCAAAGCAAGCACAGTGCTGCGCTTAAGCAGTGCCTGGCAGGTCGTTAGCGTTTAGTAAGCAGTCAGTTGTTCTACTTCTGTGATCATCATTTTCAGTATATTACTATTGTTCTCACTCCTCCTCCTGAGCTACAAGCCTCCGCGGTGTCAGCCTCAGAGGGAGGGGCTGGTGCTGGGAGGTGGCAGACAGAGCTGTATTTTCAGCCAAGAGCGTAAATTGCCTGTCGGAGGGATGCCTTAATCTCAGTTGAGGACTCAGGCCAAGCAAGGGTTGACTGGTAGAGTTCTGAGGAGGGGTTTTGGGCAGTGCCAGCAGGTAGACTGGACGCACCAGCAGAGAGCATGGGCAGGCACTGCCCCCGAGATGAAGGAAGCAGATGGTGTCTGAGAGATCCGTTCACAGATTGCAGGGCTCTGGCCATGGGTCTTGGCTAAAGCTGTAGCCAAGGCATGGACGGGGCAGCTGGCAAGGGCAAGGCAGAATTGTAGGCCAGGGAGAGCCTACACCAGTTACCAGAACAGGAAATTGGCGCCAGAGCCCAGGAAGAAAGACAGTCATCGCCTGTGGGCGAGAAGGAACCCAGGTGCAAAGAGTAGGGTGTGGGAGCAATTGCTGCAGCTCAGAGGGCAGCAGGGAGGAGCCCAGGGCACCTAAGCTCCAGGCAAGGAGACGACCCATCGTTGAGCTCCACCGGGCAAAAGAGGGAATCGGGGCTCCTATAGTTGTACCTCCTGCCCCACGTGGGTGATCTTGGAGCCCAGGCCTGGGAGACAGACAGTAAGCAGAGGCTTGTCAGCCCTACCCAGTCAGTGAGTCACGGCTTCTACAGAAAGCCTTCCTTCCCTTCCAGTCACCTTTATCAGCCTTGGTAGATTTTTATCTAAGGCTTTATCTACACTCTGCAAGGCAAGCCCATTGGGTAAGAAGAAATGAACATTTGACTTTCCACTAATAAGAAACAAACGGAATAATAATGACTCAGTTATATACATTGTATTGACGACTGACACCACAAGTTTAAAATGCATGCGAAATGCATATAGGTCCCACAGGACTGAACTGAAACCTGACCAAAGTGACTTAAGCACATGACGGTTTCTTTTCCTCAAGTAGCAAGATGTGTCATGAGCAGTTCGTTCAGAGCTGCCGTGGTGACGAGGTGTCATCAGGGACTCAGGCTCCTCCTGTTCCCTTGCCCTGCCCTCTCAGCGTGTGCAGGGCTGCTGAACCACTCAACACCAGGGCGCCTAGCCACCCTGTGCAAGGGTATTTTCTGTTTGCTCATACAGATCAACCACTCTTCAACCTGTGCAGTGCCCTGAGAGGCCGACCTGAGTGGATTACATCACTTGGGCTCCCTTGGCCTCTGACTTCCATTTGGGTTTGGCCGATGGGAGGTGCCACCAAGAGGAGATTGTAAGGCTGGGGGAATGAGCCCCCTGGTCCCTTTCCTGTGGGTCAGCGCAGGCTGCCACTGTTGGGCTTGGCCTGTTCGTGCAGCTACTTTCTCCCAGTCCTGCCAACTACTACCCCTTTCCCTTCCCTTCAGGGCTAGAGGCGGTAATGGCTCCCTGCAATTTCTAACCCCGGGCTATTGAACCATCTCTTACCCATGTTTACCTAACACTGACTACACCTTTTCAAATAACTTTTTTTTCTTCAGAATCCCCACCATTAGCCTATTGGACTGAGCCATCTGTGTCCTGCCAGGACCCTGACTGATTCAGCTCTGCAGTCTCCGTGCACAGCCACTGTGACCATATGCAGCAGCCCAGCGTGGCCCTTGCTCGTCAGAGCTGCAAGATGCTACTCCACCTCCAGGCATCGAAGTTGGATTTCAGACGGGAAGAAAGGGCAAAAGGTACCAGACAGCTCTTTGCCAGGAAAATGTAGCTTTCTAGGAAGTCACAGACAGCCGGCTCTGGTCACATGACGCTTGAGCTCAGGATGTCTGAGGAGGCGAGTATTTTTAACCCGGCACCTTGCTGCCCCAAAAGATAGTGTTTGTATTTGAAGGGAGGAAGCAGAGAAGGCCATTAAGTAGGCTACCAGGGGTGTTTGCAACATAGTATAACTCCCTTGGACTTTCATGTTGTTGTTACAAATATCTTATTGTTACACTTCCTTTCCCTGCTTCATACCTTGGATTTCTCCAGGCAACAGTAATAATAACCTCCATGTATTGAGCCCTTACTGAGTATTTTACATGCATGATGTTTTTTTAACCCTGGCAAGGGTCCTATGAGGCTTCCCCATTTTATAGATGAGGCAACTGAAGTGAGATTTTTTTCGTAATGTGTAAGTATAAGGCTTGAGCAAATACCTAGGTCTGTCTGTCTCCAGAGCCCCTGCTGGTAGCCACTGCACTCATATCCTGTGTCTCTTTCTGCTCTCCTCATTTCTTCTCCAGGAAAGAATATGTATGTACCTTCAGTGTAGAAATCTAGGTCATGTGTAATAAGCCTCTTGCATCCTCAGGACATGGCCCAGCAGAAATAAAGGAGAAAGAATCTGGAGTTGGAGACAGCAGGGGGTCAGGGAGAAAATGTACAAAGATCAATGACCAGAGAGATTTGGATCCATATAGAAGTTAATATGAATAGCAAGCAAGGTCTATGAAAACGACTTAATTATTATTTCAATTTTGAGTCCCCCTCTTGGGTGCTTTGGTTGTCCTACCCTCTGAACCTATTCACCAGCTCTGCCACTGGGCCAGGCGTTCTGGTCGGTGGCCGAGAGATACACAGGAGGAGAAAACATGATCTTTGGAGGAAACTGGAATGGGCAGGAGTTCGTTTCTGCGTTTTCCATCATGATGGCTTGGGACGTGTTTGAGGGACTGGCCTGCTGCTCCTGATAGCACATAATTCTGGAAGAGCAGTGGCAAGCCCTGGGCTATGAGCTGTTGGTGCTCTTCTTGCTCATGTGGTGCAATGAGCACTGGAACAAGAGAACTTAGAGCACAGTAATAAATATCATACAACCGTGTCTGTTAGCTAAACACTGACTGGAGCTGTGTTTAAAACAGAGTACACCTTACTGGTAGTTAAGAAAGAAGAGTAACATAATGTCAAACCAGCTCCAAAGAAAAATGACATGCTTGCTGGATTGTGGGAGGGCTTTGGGATGGGAGTATAAGGGAGCACCACCAGGGCAGCCAGTCATTCTATACAGACAGTGAGCTGATGCTGAAGAAAGACCAAGTGAAGATTGCAGTAGCTGTGGATGCAATTTAACTCTAGAGTTGCTGCGAGAAACCTTAGTATCTGAAACATGCCTCAAGTAAGGAACAGTCGAGAAATGCTGAACAGGATTTCCAGGCCTGGCTTCGTCAGTAATTTGTTTTGGGAACTTCGACTTTAACTTGCTCAAAGCCTTAGTTTGCTCATCTGAAAATTGGGGCAAATCACATCTGCTCAACTTACGTGACAGGAATGTTGTGAGAATAAAATAAAGTAGAAGATATGAAAGCACTGCCCATGTTCAAAGTTCTGTACAAACGGAAGCTATTCGGGATATTCCCACTCGTCAAGATCAAGTCGGGAAAAAAACCCCCCACTAAATCCTTTCTCTTACAATTACTGTTCATGCAGCACAGTAGCCACTAGCCACATTGGCTATTGAGTACTTAAAATGTGGCTAGTGCAGCTGAGGAACTGAATTTAAATTTCACTTAGTTTTAATTAATTTAAATTGAAAAACTGGTATTCAATTCAGTTACTAGAAAAAAAATTTTTTTTAAAGATATCTTTATTGATTTCAGAGAGAGGAAAGGAGAGGAAGAGAGAGAGATAGAAACATCAATGATGAGAGAGTCATTGATCGGCTGCCTCCTGCACGCCCCGACTGGGGATGGAGCCCACAACCCGGGCATGTGCCCTGACCAGGAATCGAACCCTGATCACCTGGACGCTCAACCGCTGAGCCACACCCGGCCGGGCTGGAAAATTTTTAAGTATGATTGGAATGGCCTGGGTATGTGAATTTACTTTTGAACTGTACATTTTATGAAATCTAAATACATATCAATTGTTTCTGATGAAATTAGTTTTTAAATTGAGATTTGCTGCAAGTGTAAAATACATACCAGATTTCAAAGACTTAGTTACCCCCAAAGATATAAAATGTGTGGTTTATAATGTTTCATATTGACTACCTGTTGAAATGATAATATTTTGTGTATATTGGGTTAAATAAAGTATATCATTAAAATTAATTTTCCCTCTTTGTAAATTTCCTAAAGTGATTCCTAGAAAATTTAAAATTACCGCGTGGCTCGCATCATATTTCTTGTTTTTTTTATGGCAACACCACTTCAGAAGGAGGCAGTGAGCAGGGGGTGTCCTCATTTCCTTATAGGAACCCGGGAGAGGGGCCACTGCAGAAATTAGTTCCACGATCCCTGGCAAACTGCTGGCACCACTTCCTGGGTTTTTGAGAATCAGAGACAGAAACACAGAACAACACAGTGTGGGGTGGGGTTGGTGCCTTGCCCGATTTCTTTCCAATGTTCAGGCACAAAACACCTTCTGGAGACTTCTGTCACTTACCATTGCTTTGGTAGAATGAGACCACAGTTGTTATCTGGGCTGCGATTTGGGGACAGCGGCATTTTAATCACTAGCTTTCAGGAGAAGCTAGCATCTCAAAAGATATTCTTAAAATCGCTATGAACATTATTTTCCATTTCTGCCGGAAAGCTCACCTTAGACCCAGCATGCGGTAGAAATTCACCCTCCAAGCATTTGCTTTTCCTCCTGAGCAGCCCCGGTTTGGAAACCCGGCTCGCATGCCAGAGGGAGCCAGGCCCAGCCCAGCCCAGCTGCCCGCCAGCACATCTGGAAGTGGTTTCGGGGCCGCCAGCGCAACACCCGGATTCCCAGCTGCTTGGCCCGGGGGTGGGAGAAACCCGAGCTGCTCCGGAGTCAACGCAAGCAAAGGGGGGGTGCGAGTCGGGGAGGAATGCTGTCTTGGAAACGTAATATTGGCCTTGGGCTCGCCAGCCCTTTGGGTCTCCCAATGGGATCTTAGAAGCGGCGGCCGCGGAGTGAAGGGCCGCAGCCCGGGGCCAGTCGCTATTTGGACGCTCAGCCCTGCAGCTCTTCTGGACCCAGGAGCCCAGAGCCCTGCCCTCGCCAGTCACCACCAGGTAAACAGAAACTTCCAAGCAGCGTGGCAGCCTTTCCGTTTTTACCCTGTGCCAGCCCTTTATTTTGCTGTAGATGCAAGAAAGTGAATCAGAGGTAGACTGGCCCACACAAAGTTTGCCTTCTGGAGCCCCAGCCAATGTTTGTAGCATTCCAATGGAACTTGTTTTTTTATTTTTTGGAGCTTTATTTTTTGCTATTGTAGCAACTCCAGGATCCTCAATGTGCAAGCTGTTCACATCCTGGACTGCTTTTCCAGACCCGGGTTTATCCCCGCCTACCCCAAATGCTGGGATTTACTGTCTGCATCGCATATTTTAAACATGGAAATCAGCAGTTAGCTAGGACACAGATAAATGCCAGTCTAGCTTTCATGCAGGTACGTTTCTGAGCCACAAAAGATTTAACTGATCTGGAATTCATGTTTTCGGAATCTGTCCCACGAAGCTGTTCTGAGGTTCCCCCAACTCCCCTCCCCAAAAGGACCGGAATATGTGGAAATCTAAATGAAGCTCGTTGTAAATACAGAGTCATGGACAAGATAAGAGCTTAGTGAGTGCTCACGTTCAAAATGCTTTTTAACATTCAAAACATGTCTTCTTACGTTCACTTTATGAGATATGATGATATCTAAACATCTGGCTGGGCTGCGGGAGGGGGAAAAGCCAGTACTCTAGCTGTTTGGCCCTGTGCAGTTAAACATCCAAAGTGACATTGGTTGGTTGGTTTTGTCTTTTGCTCCACATGTTGTGCTGTTACATTTCTGTACAGTATCCTTTTTGTGCTACGTAAGGAAATTCCAGCCCCCGTTTAATGCAGTTAGAAGTAGAGCCGGGCAGTGCAGTGGTGAGAACGCGGGCCCAGGGGTCAGACCCCCGGAGCTGAATCTAGGCACAGCCACTTACAAACTTTGTAAGCTCTGACTCTGGGGACTTAACTCGTCTGTGACACTATTTCCTCACCTGTAAAATGGGCATTTAGTGACAAAATATGTTTAAAGGATCTGCAGAGTAATGAGGCCGTGGGGAAGGCCACCTGGTGGTGCTGATGATGACGATGGTGATGACAATGAGTGACCGCATATCCTGCACTGGGCTGCAGCCCTAATTTTGACACCTCCTCTCTGATACTCAAGTCGTCCACGGGTCCCTCCTATCCTCTTATGTCTCTCCAGGGCCCTGCTTTCTTGCTTCATCCCTTCATACACCTCTTTGCTTTTTTTCCACTCTGGATCTCTTTATTTCTTCTCTGTTCTCCCTCCTTCCTTGCCGAGAGACAGTCATGCTCCTTAAGCCGCAGCACTCATAGCTTTCGTTTCTGTTCCCAGAGAGCATGATTCTAAAGGCTCCTTTTCGTTCAGCATTTGCCAAGGAATGTTCTGAAGAAGATGGTCCCTTGGGGAAAATGAGCTTTGTGAGCTTTCCCTCTCAGAAATCTCAAGGTATAATGGCATTTTAAAGGTACTGAGAAGTCCTGCAGTAGAGAAATCTGCTTAAAGTTGTTTAACACAGTGGTTGCCAGTTGACCCTTGAATCATTTTATCACATAACGTTGATGAACACTTCTCGGAGCACACTCTGCCATATCCGATTCTGGCTCCATATGTTTTCATTTTGGTTCCTCTTATGGATGTCCTACTTCATACCTCCCCTGGTGAATACCCAAGGGGATATCTCTCTTTTGTTGTTGTGTTTTATTTTTTTCATCACCATTTATCCCCTCTATGCCCTCTTCCACCTCTACTCATCCCCCCCACCCACAATCACCATACTGATGTCCACGTCCATGAGTTCTCTCTTTTCTGCTCAATCCCTCCATCCCCCAAA